TTACTCAGAGCCAGACCCTGTGCCGGGGACTGTTGCCGGGGGCTGTTGCCGGGGGCTGTGCCGGGGGGCTGTGCCGGGGGGCTGTGCGGGGGACTGTGCCGGGACTGTTGCGGGGGGGGGGGGCTGTGCCGGGGGGCTGTGCCGGGGGACTGTGCCGGGGACTGTTGCCGGGGGCTGTGTGGGGGACTGTGCCGGGGACTGTTGCCGGGGGCTGAGCGGGGGACTGTGCCGGGGACTGTTGCCGGGGGCTGTGCGGGGGACTGTGCCGGGGACTGTTGCCGGGGGCTGTGTGGGGGACTGTGCCGGGGGCTGTTGCCGGGGGCTGTTGCCGGGGGGGGGGGCTGTGCCGGGGGGCTGTGCCGGGGGACTGTGCCGGGGACTGTTGCCGGGGGCTGTGCGGGGGACTGTGCCGGGGACTGTTGCCGGGGGCTGAGCGGGGGACTGTGCCGGGGACTGTTGCCGGGGGCTGTGCGGGGGACTGTGCCGGGGGGCTGTGCCGGGGACTGTTGCCGGGGGGGGGGCTGTGCCGGGGGACTGTGCCGGGGACTGTTGCGGGGGGGGGGGCTGTGCCGGGGGACTGTGCCGGGGACTATTGCGGGGGGGGGCTGTGCCGGGGGGCTGTGCCGGGGGACTGTGCCGGGGACTGTTGCGGGGGGGGGGGCTGTGCCGGGGGGCTGTGCCGGGGGACTGTGCCGGGGACTATTGCGGGGGGCTGTGCCGGGGGGCTGTGCGGGGGACTGTGCCGGGGGGCTGTGCCGGGGACTATTGCGGGGGGGGCTGTGCCGGGGGGCTGTGTGGGGGACTGTGCCGGGGACTGTTGCCGGGGGGGGGCTGTGCCGGGGGACTGTGCCGGGGACTGTTGCGGGGGGGGGGCTGTGCCGGGGGACTGTGCCGGGGACTATTGCGGGGGGGGGGCTGTGCCGGGGGGCTGTGCCGGGGGACTGTGCCGGGGACTGTTGCCGGGGGGGGGGGGGCTGTGCCGGGGGGCTGTGCCGGGGGACTGTGCCGGGGACTATTGCGGGGGGGGGCTGTGCCGGGGGGCTGTGCGGGGGACTGTGCCGGGGACTGTTGCGGGGGGGGGGCTGTGCCGGGGGGCTGTGCCGGGGGGCTGTGCCGGGGGACTGTGCCGGGGACTGTGCCGGGGACTGTTGCCGGGGGGGGGGGGCTGTGCCGGGGGACTGTGCCGGGGACTGTGCCGGGGACTGTTGCCGGGGGGGGGGGGGCAGGGCCGGGGGACTGTGCCGGGGACTGTGCCGGGGACTGTTGCCGGGGGGGGGGGCTGTGCCGGGGGACTGTGCCGGGGACTGTGCCGGGGACTGTTGCGGGGGGGCTGTGCCGGGGGGCTGTGCCAGGGGACTGTGCCAGGGACTGTGCCGGTGGCTGTTGCGGGGGGGGGGCTGTGCCGGGGGACTGTGCCGGGGACTGTTGCCGGGGGCTGTGCCGGGGGGCTGTGCGGGGGACTGTGCCGGGGACTGTTGCGGGGGGGGGCTGTGCCGGGGGGCTGTGCCGGGGGCTGTTGCCGGGGACTGTTGCGGGGGGGGCTGTGCCGAGGGACTGTGCCGGGGGCTGTGCGGGGGGCTGTGCTGGGGGACTGTTGCCAGGGGACTGTTGCCGGGGGCTGTGCCGGGGGCTGTGCGGGGTACTGTGCCGGGGGCTGTGCGGGGGGCTGTGCTGGGGGACTGTTGCCGGGGGCTGTGCCGGGGGCTGTGCGGGGTACTGTGCCGGGGGCTGTGCGGGGGGCTGTGCCGGGGACTGTTGCGGGGGGGGGCTGTGCCGGGGGGCTGTGCCGGAGGCTGTTGCCGGGGACTGTTGCGGGGGGGGGCTGTGCCGAGGGACTGTGCCGGGGGCTGTGCGGGGGGCTGTGCTGGGGGACTGTTGCCGGGGGACTGTTGCCGGGGGCTGTGCCGGGGGCTGTGCAGGGGGACTGTTGCCGGGGGCTGTGCGGGGGACTGTGCCGGGGGCTGTGCCCGGGGCTGTGCCGGGGGCTGGGAATACAGAAATGAATATGTATTTCTTCATCTGAGTGATTATAGGGAGATAATCTAATAATTATTTTCTACTAAAAGAAAAAAAAGACTGAATTATATAATTTTTAGTGGCTTAAAATGTTTTCCTTTAAAATTTTTCCGTGATTGCATTACATTTTTCAAGTGTTTTTGTATCTTCCCTTGCTTTTCTTTCAAATGAAGCATCTGGGCCAGAACAGTGGTGAGGCCAGAGTACAGTGGCTCCGTCATATAACATGACGTCATGTAGCTTTGACGTCATGTAACCTCTATACCTCCTACTAGGTCTCTCTCTGAAACATGAACAAAGAAAATATGAAACATAAAATATAGGTAAAGACACAGGAAGAACTAGAAAAAAATTAAGTATGGATTCTGATTACTGGAGGCTGGTATATTTTTAACAAGTGATGTTTTTCAAACAGTGAGAGTTAGTTCTGTGTTAAAGAAATAGCATCATTGTCCAGCCAGTGTGGTGCAGTGGTTGAGTGTTGACCCATGCACCAAGAGGTCGCTGGTTCGATTCCTGGTCAGGACATATGCCCAGGTTGTGGGGCCAGTCCCCAGTGAGGGGCATGCAGGAGGTGACCAATCAATGTTATCTCTCATTGATGTTTCTATCTCTCTCTCCCTTTCACTTCCTCTCTCTCTAAAATCAATAAAGGAAAAAAAAATTTAAAAAAAACACACAAATAACATCATTGCCTTGGTTTGTCTCAGCAGTTAGAGTTGCGGGTTCGATTCTGGTCAAGGGCACCTCCCTTGGTTGTGGTTCTGTCCTGGCCCTGGTCGGGGTCATGTGGGAGGCAGCCAGTCAATGTGTCTCTCTCATATCAATGTCTCTCTCTCTTTCTCTATCTTTTCCTCTTACTGTGTCTGAAAATAAATGGAAAAATATCCTTGGCTGAAGATTAAAAAAAAAAAAAGAAATAACATTATTACATAATGATGTTAGCATTCCTAAATGCAGTCTATAGTTTTCCTGTTCTTTGTTATTAATGTTCTGCTTTTAGGCCTAAAGGAGGCAGATTTCCCAAAGCCCCTATTAGTCCAGCTTTTAGTTCATGTTTCAAAATAAAGCAAGGAAAAATAAAGTTCTAAACTTTAAGTGTAACATACCCTGCACAAAATATATCGGAATGTTTTTGAGATGGTAACTAGAAGGACAGCGTGTAATTATATTTGAATTTTTAATAATAGGATTTATGCTTCAGTTGATTTTCTTTTTTTTTTTGCTTGGCAAAGGTCACATAACCTATTTTGTGGTGTTGATGGGAGCATGTGACAAAAATAAAATTTTTGCTAGAAAATGTCGGTTGCAGGAAGAAAATCACTGAAAAGTTGATGATGGTTTTCCCTGGTGTAATTGTAGATTTTTTTCTTTATATATGTTTATGTTTTCTACTTGTGAGTGACCAAACCAAAGCAAAAAAGACAGTTTTCATTTTTCCTACTGTATGGTTAAATAGCTAACATTTACTGAGTGCTTTACTTATAAACTCCTCTCAATAACTTTACGTAGTCAATCCTATCATCTATCCCCGTTTTGAAGATGGAAAAATCAAGGCCAAGAGAGATTGACTAACTTTCTTCCCCAGTGTCATTCAGCTATAGGTCAAGATCTCAAAAACAGATCTAGTTTTCCTAGAGTCTGAGCTTTCATTATATAATAAGGGGAAGAGCAATTTGGGCAAAACAGGAAACCATTTTCCCCTTTGCAATTAAAATATATATTTTGGAAGCCCTTGTGTGAACAAGGACAATTAATAGGAGCTGCCCCTAGCTCCTGTCCTTTGATAGTGCTGGTAGTTAGCATGGGCACTAATAGTCAACTAGTTAATACACAGAAATAGTTATTAACCATTGGGATCTGCTTGTGAAGTGTATGTCACAGGTAAGAGGGCCAGGGCTCTTTTACAAGGAACAGATCTATTAGGGAAAATCCAAGGAGCAAATGTCACCTCTGCTCCAGGGCCACCAACCACACATGTGGCTACAATCCCTCCTGATTCTGAGAGGTATAAAGCTGGAGTCCTACCCCCCCCCCACACACACACACACAGCCCTTAGATGAGACTCTGCATTGCCTGCCATCTTTCATTGTCCCTATGTGTTTTCTGGGAAAGAACTGCCCATTCGTTCTTTCATCATTCAAGAGCACCTACTATGGCCAGTCATTGTGCTAGTATTGGGGCAAAACAGATAAAAATCCAACATGGCCTCTGCTTTTACTGAGCTTCATTGCTATGTGGATACTCATGTTCACCCGACTTCGGGAAGTCAAAAGGCTTATTTCTTATGCATTAATAACAGGTCTAGTCCATGTACTAAGGAAGTAACACAGAGTGAATTGGTTCAGCTGTTTGACTTTCAAAGGCATACCCATATATTAGAGTTCAAGGTTGATGTAAATTGCTCAGTGAAGCTTGACTGACATTGATGTCCTGATTTATGCAAATGGATACAATTATGTGTTCTGTGGACATGGTTGGATGACCAACCAGTGCTTCGGAGAGAGAAGTGGGAGAAAGAGGCACCAGCCCCATTTCACCTTGAAAAAATTCCAACTCTTCCTTTTGTTGGTCATGATCTCCACTTGGTAGACTTTTCCAGATGAATCCTAGATCACTTTCCATATTAGACATTTTAAAGGTACAATTATAAAGGCACAAGCTTATTTCTAAGATGCTGAGAATGCTTTGCATATTATATACATTCTCAGCACATTTGGTGGATAGGCAGAAGTAACAAGAAGCTTCATTTGCCCTGGCTGAAAGCTACAGGTGCTGGAGATGAAGCTGAGTATATGTGGGAAATCAGGGTCAGAATGTGCCACTGAATCTCCTGAGAAAACGATTTGCCCCCAGTTGCTCTTGATAAATGTAATTATGGCAGAAGCAATACAGAAGGATGGCCAAGAAGGGATCTGCCATTGGCATGGAAGTGCTGCTGCTCTGCCTGCCATTTACATTGTCTTCCCTTTAACTCCAACAGGGAGGTACCTCCTTCCCAACCCTGTGACGGGGCAGGCCTGGCCAGCCTCTGCGGAGACGTCCAACCTCGTGCGCATGCGCAGCCAGGCCTTGGGCCAGTCGGCGCCCTCGCTCACCGCCAGCCAGGTAAGTGTCTGGGCTCTGTCTGTGGTGGGTCGGGCTTGATCCGTCTTTTAAGATTTGAACTTACATTTAACATTAAGCATAGATTTGACAATGTGAAATTCCTTGCTTTCAGTGTGCTCGTTTTTCCAAGCCCTTCCACCAACCGAATTTAGAGTATTTATGTCAATTTGATGCTGTCTCCATTCTTACCTCAAAAGAAATGAAGATGTTTCTAAGCTTTAAAACAGCCAAAAACAAAAACCACTTTTATTTGGAAATGATTTCAAACTAACAGAGAAGTTACAAGAATAAGAAAAATAATGGAATACCAGTTGATCCTTTACCTAGATTCAACTATTAACCTCTTCCCAATTTTATCAATTGCTTTCTCTCCATCTGTATCTTCACATGTATATACATATATGTACATATACACATAATTTTTTGAACTGTTTCAGAGTAGTTATCAGTTATCGAATTCAGTCAATTTTTTTGTCTAACCCAAGGACATTTTCTCCTTTTTTTGTTCAGATAGAGTGGGAGGGAGAGCGAAGAAGAGAGAGAGAGAGAGAGAGGCGAGGAACAGAGAGAGAGAGAGAGAAACATCGATGTGAAGGGAACACATCGAGTGGCTGCCACCCGCACGACCCAACCAGGGCCGGGGACAAACTGCAACTGAGGTACGCGCCCTTAGCGGGAACCGAACACGGATCTCTCTGGACCGCAGGTTGAAGCTCTAACCGCCGAGCCAATACGGCCAGGGCAAATTCAGTAAATTTATGGCTGATAAAAGGCTTTTCTCTTTCTTCCATCCACACTTTAGTTTTTTTTGTTTTTTTATCCTCACCCGAGGATATTTTTTGATATTTTGTTCAGATAGAGTGGGAGGGAGAGAGAGAGAGAGAGAGAAACATCTACATGAAAGGGACACATCAAGTGGTCGCCACCCACACGACCCAACGAGGGCCGGGGACAAACTGCAACCGAGGTACGTGCCCTTAGCAGGAACGAACCCGGGTCTCTCCAGACCGCAGGCCAACACTCTAACTGCTGAGCAAAACCAGCCAGGGCCACTCTTTGGTTTTAACCATGGGCTCAGTACTATCCTCAGTAGCTTTTTCCCTCTCCAGGATAGGACCCAGTCTACAGTCGTGCATTGAATGTAATTGTCATACCTATTTAGTCCCCTTTAATCTGGACCTTTTTTCCATAGCCTTTTTGACGTCAACGTTTTTGAAGACTACATCCCCCCACCCATGTTTTCTAATGGTCTATTTCACATATTACGTGTAGCTGATACATATATCTGACATTTTCTCACGGCGAGATTTATTTTTTTGCATTCCAGGCTAGAGTATGACATGGGTGATGCTGTGACCTCTCAGCGCATGCCATCTGCAGACACAGGATGTCCATCTGCCCCTCACTGTGAAATTAATTTTTTTCACCCAAACAAATGTTGCCCAATTTCTACACTGTAGTTAGACCTTTTTCTCTCGTATTCAATAAGCATTCTGTGGGGAGATACTTTCAGCCATGCAAGCATGCTTCTCCTCATCAGAAATTTCCCCTAGATTTCCATGACAATGGTGATTCTTGCCTGGACCCTTTTTTCTATGAGAATTGAAAATGCTCATTATTCCAACTGCAGCACTTTCTCCACATTTACCAGGTGGCACACGGTATAAATGTTTGTGTATTGTTGGCAATATGGACACCTACATTCCTTTTTCTTTTCTTTTCTTAATGGTACACTTTTATTTTTAACCATGATCCTTACTAGAATTTTGTTTTCTAGTGGGTTCATTACTTCTCTACTTTAACCTTTGGCCTAAAAGTTTTTAGAAGTGATTTTTGCATTGGCGGTAGGGGTTGTATGGTATGGGAATAGATTTTTAAACATCTTTTACTGATGATGATGCAGATAATCTGTAAATCAGTGCATTGTGATGCCTTATAATTTTATGCATTAGTAATAGGTTATGTTGGATATTTGGGAATCATTCCATAATGCTGAGAGATGTGATTTAGGTCTGGCCTCGAGTCCTGCTTTTGCCATTAAGTAGCTGTGTAAACTTGGGCAAGTCATTTCGTTTCTCAGGTTTTATCACCTCATCTGCAACTGCAAGATGAAAAGAGGTATAAGCAGTCTCTGGAATTCAACTTTGGAATTCCCTGATTTTACCTTTCAAATAGTAAAGATTCTGAATGGCACTGAATAATTATCCCTATGAAAGTGTCTTTCCAGATATATTTTGACTCCAAAACTGACTATGATCTTTAAGCCAAAATTCATGGTCTTCCTCTCATGAAAAATTTGGGACTTCTTTTAAAGATATAGTTAAAGTGATGATAGTTAGCATTTTCCTCCGTGTCATCCCCAAGTTCAAAGTTACTCTTGGGGAATTTTATCAGAAGGTTATTTTACTGTAAGCAGTTATTGTTTAAGGCAAGAGGAAAATTCTTCACAATTAGTGATTTTTTTTTTTAAACAAGTGTTTGGGGGGTGCACTGCAATATTATTCTTAACACTTAAATAGTAATCTTGTATGTTGATTGCTAAGAAAATCATTCTGATTAAAGCAACACTGTCACAGAGTTTTATATATAACTATCTAATAATGGTAGTCTCATACTCAAACACAGAGTCCGATTTACTCATTGACCGAGTCTTCTGTTCTCCAGCCTCTGCTGTCTTACGAGCAGCAGCAGCTGAGGAGGGCTGCCAGGCAGAGAACCTCTTGACTGTTCTGTCCATATTGGTCAAGGTTTCTGTGCCACATCGCTTACTTCAGTGTGTCACTCGGTCCATGTTAATGATTCTCCTGCTTTTGGTACCCTTTGCAGAAACGTTAATGTTTCGGGTTTTTTTGAATTGGATTATGTCTAAAGTGTCTCTGCTGATTACAATGAACAGATCTGATACTGAAAGGTGGAACTATACACCTCTTAGAAATTACTTTCTTTTCCTATGTTGGGGGATGGTGACACTGGTTAATAAAAGTACATAGGTTTCAGGTGCACAGTTCCACAGTACATCATCTGTATATTGTACTGTGTGTTCAGCACCCCAAGTCAGGTCTCCTCCCAGCACCACTCATCTCCCCTTTCCCTCTGCTGTCTACCCCACCCCTTTTCCCTCTGCTGATCACTATGTCTTTGTCTATGAGGTTGTTTTGTTTTCTTTGCTTAATCCCTTTGCTTTTTCACCGAGCCTCCAACCCACTTCCACTCTACCAGCTGTCAGTCTGTTCTCTGTAAGTCTGTTTCCATTTTGTTTGGTTTGTTCATTAGATTCCACCTATAAATGAAATCATATGGTACTTGTCTCTGTCTGACTGGCTTTTTCTCTCCTCCTCTTCCTTTTTCCTTTTCTTATCTTCTAAACAAGCTGATGTTTCTGGAGGTGCTTTGTACAACAGAACATGCTTTACTCTGATCCTCTCTCCTGGCCACTGTGCTCACCCCCATCATCCATGCCTTAGAGCTGTAAGTCAGCCTTCTCCTCCCCGCTCCCCTTAGCGGGCAGCACGGTGCACCTTTGTTTCAGTTCTTTGTGTTGATGCCTGATATTCCCCTGCTAGACTGCAAGCTCCTTCAGGGCGGAGTTCCCGTCTGATCTGGCGTTCTGTTTCTCACTGCTCCTGGCACAAGGCCTTGCATGGAGGAGGCATTCAATAAATAATGCTGATGGAACGAATAATTCCTCCTATGAAGTGACAGATGCCTTCGGTTGCAAGGTGAGAGTGATGGTTGATTCTGTATGCTGTAATAGGTGGCCTAATACGATCATCCATCTAAAACCCTTTGATTTTGCTGCTCACTGTGCCTCTTACGATTGTGATTAGCCTCAAAGTCCATGTAATGGGCCGAATCCCATTTAGTTCCACATCAGCTGCTCAAAAAATATGGTGATAAAATTATGAAGCAATTGCAGTGTCCACATTCAAGGAGATTTTGTTAATCTGCTTGTAAGCAGTCATGTAATCGCATTGGTTTAAATACTTTGTTGATTCATTGAAGAAGTAGGTTGAAGCGAAATGTGTGTTCAAGTGTGAAAAAATGGGAAAAAATGGGAATCAACGTGGTTTATGTCCAAATAACAGTGTTACAACTTGATAGAACAGAATTTCATGTTCAGCATGGCAACACACATTTCAGAAAAGCATAGACCCTCAACCTGAGAGGTATTCATATGTTGGTAAGATGTAAATGAAGGCCCTGTGGCTGAGTGGTGTTCCTATGTTAGTAAGATACAAATGGAGGGCCCGTGGTTTGGTCGGTATGAATTTTAGTAAATGCATGACCTGTAGCGATTTAAATGCCATCGGCGAGCTTGAAGGTAATACTAACTACCTTCTCAAGAAGGAGATTAATTCCTAGCCCAGAGTGTCTAGCTTTCCTTGGCAATGCTAATGTAGCTGTGCTCCCTCTCCCAGACGTTTTGGGCATTTCAGATAAATGGCATGTTGCCAATTCATCCTAAGTAGCCCGGTAGCTGGCAGAATCCATGCTCAGCCAGTGTCCGCCTGCTGGGACACCAGCCGGGAGTGCTGATGAAGTGTCAGATGTATACTTCGTATACATTAATCTGAAGAGGGGAAAACTCATTTCCTCATTTGCTTCCTCCATCTTTCTGTCCCTCTCCACACACATGGGTAGTTTATCAAAGGAGTCATAGTCGTCAAAAGCAGGGGATTTATACAGATGCTGCTTTCTGGCAAGAGAGAGAGAAATTTCAGCAGGCAAACGCAGAACCGGCGGTGACTTATTTTTCTGTAGGAAAATAAGGGAGTAAGCCCTGATGGTTTACATTTAGGAATGGCACATGTGGCCATTGTAAGAAACGTTCACCAGTTCTGTACTTTGGAGTAATAGATGGCAGAAGCACAGTGACGTTCGTTTTCAGTATCTTTCTCCAATTTTCTGTGTGATTTGAATCATGAGACTTTTGTTTTGTTTGTGTGAACATCCCTGTCACAGTCTTTCTTACTGGCGTCTTCCTCGACCATCCTGTTGACACTGTTCCCACACTGCATGCCATAGCCCCCATGGGACCCCTTCACTTTTTTCCATCGCTTCATCTCCTTTCACTGTTCTGCGTAATGTATTGATTGTACACCTCTTAATATCTGGTGAAAAATTCACGAGGGTGGAGATATTTTTTCTGTTTTGCTAACTATTTTTTCAGGGCCTACAATAATGTCAGGCACATAGTAGGTGCTCAATGAAGACTTGTTGAATGCATAAGCATATCTATTTTCTTTGTGTATCTCTTTAGTGCTCTTGAATGGACTACTGTTTTTGTTGGTGGTGTTTTAATCTGTGATTAACTTTTTAGGTTTCTATCCTTTAGCCTAAAGAAGAAGCTATTCTTCAAGCCGGAGGACAGTTCACTATGCAAACTGAATTCAGGGATTAAACTCTGGTTGTTCAGTTGGAAAAAGGGAATGAGGGGGAAAGCAGTGTGGTTCAGAGATCAATTCTAGTTTCTACTCACTGTTTAGCTGAGAAAGCCTCAGTTTCTTCATCTGTGAAGTGGGTCTAATGGTTGTAGAAACCTCAAGGTTATTGTGAGGATTAAATGAATGAACTTTTGTGTGCTATTTTGCACAGTGCCTGTCACCCCAATGCTGGCATCAGTGTTCCTGGGGTTGGCAGGAGAAAGGTTTCTTGGGGGTTGTCAGCTAGGCTTAGCTGAGATGGTATCAGAAGGGACTTTTCTCTCAGATCATTTTATTTCAGGTAGTACCTTAACTTTCTTGTCCTTGCCCCCTTGCATGATTGTGGACTAACTTTGTTTCTTTCTTCCTCCTTTTCACTCAAAATTCACCAACCCAACAAACTGGAAGATATCTTGCTAGAAGAGTTAACTTTATTGAAAAGGGGAGTGCTTTTAAATATTGTTTTCAACTTTTAATATTACGTTAAGTGGTATAATTTTATGTTTCTTCAGTGGCTCTCTTTTGACATTGTATTCATTTCTTTTAATGGAAAAATTATGTTTCATGATATACTATAAATATTAAAATCAAACTATTTAAACTGTAATATATTCAAAGAGCCTTGATGAATATTCATCTTTTCCATTTGCAAAAAATGCATTATGAAGAGTCAGGGAAAATTCACTAAACATATGCAAAAGTCCATTTTTTCTTTTTAATTCATTCAGAATGTACTGACATAATGTCTGCATTTATTTAGGCTACAGACTTTATTCGCAGTCACTTAATATTATATCAATACTTCATTAGCCTTATAGCTCAAAAACAAAAACCTGAGCCGAAGTCCAATTAGTTAACTCTGAGAGGGCACCTGCTAAATATTGATGTCGGAACAATCTGAATGCCCTTGGATACATTGCTTAACAAAAGTTGCAGAGTACAGCTGTGAATTAACATCTCTCCTTAGCCGTTATGACTCAGATGAAAGGCTGCCCAATATTCTAATGTATGGATTTCTCACAGCCTATAAAACCATTTCACCCTTTAGGTTATTTCCAAGTTTTTCCTCTTGCAAATAATGGTGATGAGCAGGCTTTCAATAAGTCCTTGTCACCTCTAATTATTTTTTCAGGGTATATTCTTGGAGTGGGATTATTGTGGTAAAGGACATGAGCATGATGGAGGTTCCTCACACTTCAGCTAAATTGTTTCTTGGAATGCTCTACAAATTTATATTTCCATATATCGAGAGAGTGCAACTCATTATACTCTGGCCAGCAGTCAGTATTGTCTTCTAAATAAAACATGTAACTTGACTAGTTAGTTAGGTGAAAAATAATCTTTTTTACATTTATTGTTGATTTGCAGTGAAGTTGATATGGTAATTGGACACATTGAACTCGCACACCAAAGCCTCCAGAGAAAGCAAATATGAAACTGGGCTTATCCATGCTTCCTCCAATAGCTTCTTCCTTCCGTTCCCTAAACCAGCTTACTGTACCAACCGTGGGAATTCTGCACTGCGCTTGGAATACAGCAAGTGCTGACTGTGATTACAGTGTATGTAGCTGAAGGCATTATTCCACAGTTCAAAAATTTTTTTCATCTGGAAAGTAGTAATCCCAATTGTGAAATAGTGCCTTCAGCTGTGGACATTATAATCAGAGTCTCAGGGGTGTTTGTATTCCAGGAGTAATACATCTCCTAGTTATTACCTTCTGAGCTCGGTTCTATTTATAGTGAAGGGATGAATTTTCATAACTCAGTGCTGAAATAGCAGTAGGGAGCCCTGAGCAGATTATTATAGGTCAGGCCTAATCCATGAAGATAAATCTCATTACAGGCTCACCTGGGCCCGTGCACAGCTAGTTTAACATGAGTCTGTAAATCAAAGATCAACTTAAAAACAATCTATAAAATACTCTCTCTAATCTGCCTCTATGAAGAGATACTCTAAATGTGTGTCCTTACTCTGAGCATGCTTGGCTGTCGTGAGAATAATTAGTAGAAAACATGTGAAGTGCACTGTGATTCAACCGATGAATGAATGAATGAACTACTTATTTGGGGGGAGATTTTTTAAAAATGAAATTCCACCCAGAAGTAATCACTTAAAACTTCCCATCCTAGTTTTCTCTTCCTTACATTTTGCAAAGGTTAAAAAATATTCATTACCTCATGCATGTGCTGTCCTTCCTGGGAAGGATGGGATGCCTGCGGGAGTGTGCTCTCTGCGTGGGGCGCCAAGGGCAGAGCGGTCAAGTGTGGCCTTCTTGTTATCAGAGGCCATAAATCTTCTATGGGATTTAAAGAGAAGAGTTTCATGCTCTCTTTTAATTATTTACAGTCATAGAAGGGAACAAAACACATTTATAACTGCAATACTGTGTGTGTATTTGTGTGTGTGTTAAACTTAGGTTTCATTTATTATCCACTTACCCGACTCGGGGGCCTATTTTGAAAGTGGCCAACCTGTTCACCAAGCATTATGAGATGATCCATAGAGTGGTGAGTGGTGGCACCTCAGCTGTCATTCCTCACTGTATCTTGAGCACCAAGGGCCATGCTTGGTGTGCATTTAGTACTTATATGATGGTTGTTTCTTAACAAATGAGGAGGTCTCGATTCCAAGTTTCAATAGTTTTTTGAGGTTCCTGTTGTTCTGCTTCCGAGTCCAGGCTAGTTGAGTGGATGGGCTATCAAGGATTTGGTTGGGTGGTGTGTGTGTGTGTGGGGGAGGGGCGGTGCTTGGGACACAGGCGATGGAGCAATCATGGAAGTGTCCCTCGGTGTAGTGATGATCAGGTACCATTCTGGTGGACTCCTGGTGTGATACAACTTGTCCATCCTGGTGTCCTTCTGACTCCATGGTAAAATATCATTACCTGTCTATTTGCTCTCTTACTGTCGAAAGGATTCTGCAGCTCAGGAGAAACTGGGAAACCCATAGTAAGTAGACAATGGCATGTGAGAGGGAAGGTATTAGGATGTAACATCTCCCTAATTGGGAAAAATGAAAAATTATTATTTTAATTCATAGGCTTCCTGGTTATTATGGCTCTGGAAAAGCCAACATACTTCAATACTTTATTTTTCTAGATATACTTTGGTGGTGAGTGGAATGAGTAGTAGTGGTAATTATACTTATTTATTGTTTTTGGCACTTCAAGTATCCAGTGTTGGATTCCGAATCAGTGAATTTGTTCATTATGCTCATTTTCCAGTTAATTGACTATATTAATGGAGTCCCTATTACACAAGTAGTATTCAAACCTCATTGGGAAAAATGTGACGCATGATCTTGTTTTTTTTAAATTAATTCATTTATTTTTGTTATAGATGTTTCTCCTTTTTCCCCCACGGATTCCCCCCTCTCCCTCCCTCCCCACCCTGTCCCCAGCATTGTTGTCCTTGTCCATTGTTCATGCACACATGCATATAAGTTCTGTGGTTTATCTCTCCCCCACCACCCCCTCTTCTGCGGATTGTCAGTCTGTACCCCACTTCCACGTCTCTGGAACCACCCATTCCTCAGACTGTTATGTTCATTATATTCCACAAATAAGTGAGATCATATAAAACTTGTCTTTCTCTGTTTGACTTGTTTCGCTTAGGATAATACTTTCCAGGTCCCTCCAGGTCGTCTCAAAGGATAAGGGATCTTTCTTTCCTACAGCTGCATAGTACTCCATTGTGTGTATGTACCACTGCTTTTTTATACATTCCTCTACTGATGGACATTTGGGCTGTTTCCAGATCTTAGCTATTGTAAATAGTGCTGCTATGAACATGGGGGTACATATATTCTTTCTGATTGGTGTTTCAGGTTTCTTAGGGTATATTCCTAGAAGTGGGATCACTGGGTCAAATGGAAATTCAATTTTTAAGTTTTTGAGGTAACACCATAGTGTTCTCCATAGTGGCTACACCAGCCTGCATTCCCACCAGCAGTGTACTAGAGTCCCCTTTTCTCTACACCCTCGCCAACACTTGTTGTTTGATGCTTTGTTGCTGGCGATTATTCTGAAAGGTGTGAGGTGATACCTCATTGTTTTAATTTGCATCTCTCTGATGATTAGTGATTTTGAGCATTTCTTCATATGTCTCTAAGCCATTTGTATGTCCTGTTCGGAGAGGTGTCTATTTAGTTCCTCTGCGCAGTTTTTAATTGGGTTCTTTGTCTTTCTTTTGTTGAGTTGTATGAGCACTCTATATATATTGCAAATTATCCCCTTATCTGATATATCATTGGCAGTGATGCTCTCCCATACAGTAAGTTCCCTTTCCATTTTGATGATTGTATCTTTTGCTGTACAGAAGCTTTTGAGTTTGATGTAGTCCCAGGTGTTCATTTTTTCCTTTGTTTCTGTTGCCTTAGGTGATGTATCAGTGAAAATTCTGCGCATATGATGTCCAAAATTTTGTTTCCTATATTTTCTTCTAGGATTTTTGTGGATTCATGAGTCACATTTAAGTCTTTTATCAATTTTGAGTTTTCTTGTGTGTGTATGGTGTAAGTTGATGGTCTAGTTTCATTTTTTTCGCATGTAGCTGTCTAATTTTCCCAGCACCATTTATTAAAGAGGCTATCTTTACTCCACTGTATGCTCTTGCCACCTTTGTCAAATATTAATGGAGCATATTGCCTTGGGTCCATTTCTGGGTTCTCTGTACTGTTCCACTGGTCTATATGCCTGTTCTTGTGCCAGGACCAGACTGTTTTGATTACAGTGGCTTTGTAGTATAGCCTGAAATCTGGTAATGTGATCCCTCCAACTTTGTTCTTCTTTTCCAAGATTGCTGTGGTTATTCGTGGCCTTTTTTGGTTCCATATGAACTTTTGAAGTATTTGTTCTAGTTCTGTTAAGTATGTCATTGGTATTTTGATGGGGATTTCATTGAATCTATAGATTGCTTTGGGTAGTATGGACATTTTAATGATGTTAATTCTTCCAATCCATGAACATGGTATGTGCTT